ACGTATGGAATAAAATGCAGGCGGCGCGCATCCGACCGATGTTTTTTCGAAGAGAAACACGACGGGGGAGGGAAGAAGGGAAAGGATTGCCTTCCTTGTGGCAAAGGAGAATCTTGGGACATAGTCGAAACGTGGTATCGGTTATAGCTTCCGCTTTTAACGAACCTTGTACAATGGAGCACGAAAGAGGAGCAATTTCGTGTATCGCGTACGGATCTGGATAGAGGAAAATAATAAGAGGCCAAGGTTTCTGTATACAACAAGTACAACGATAATTTTGATAAATTTTAGTAAATTTGTAAAATCAAATATTACGAGGATCGAAATACAACAATTGATTGGAGTTATTTTTCTATGTGTACTTTTTAAAGGAATAGATGAGTTACTTTAATATATTAATGGAGAATTGTATTGGAATTTCATTGATTTTTTCTTTCTACCATCATATTTGTCACATGTATTAATTCGACAAAACGACAAAATTCTGTATCTAAACCACTCGAAAGCGAATACTTTCTACCAGAAAAGTCTATCGATATGATATATAAACATTTTTTTATTTCTCGTAATATAGACTAATCATGATTTTTAACTTTAGTTTAATTTGTATAGATAATTTTTAATAGATAATTCAAATTGTAGCTCTTCTACCATTATAGATGTCAGGATCGTCAACAAAGCGCGTGAAGTGGGGATAGACGATCCTAGCGGAGGACCCCTCTTGCCCCTGTGCCCACCCTCGAGTCTTCGTTCCAGCAGCGAACGAACGTATCGCGTCAATTGTGAATCGTGCGATCAAAGAAAGCATTTAGCGAGAAAATAAAATAGAATTAATCTCGTATTCGTATCCATTGTTCCTCTGTCCACCACACATTTTCGCAAAATAAACTCTGTTCACAATTCTCGCATTGTCCAGTTTAATCTATCGTTAAATACCTAACCTATAATTTCTAATAACTTCGAATCGAGGTACATGGCTGCGCACCGATTATTCGGCATGATAGTATCCCAGCAGTTGGATAGATGGGGCCACGGTGGATTCAAAGTCAGTTAATAGGGAATTCTATTGGAGCATTTATACGGCCATTTCTGACGACTACTCGCGTAATTGGTACTCGATTACCAGTGTGATTCACGAATCGACCACTCGCTTCGATCGTCCGAACGCATTGTGCACGTATAAATTGTCGATATCAATCGAAATTTTTATTGTGAAATGTGAATAATGTAAAATTTAATAGGAATCGTGTTGTAACGCAATATATATTAAAGATAACAAATTTTGGAATAAATTCTTCGAGAGTTATCTTGTAATCGTTAGAAGAAAATTGTCATCGTATATATCGCATGACTCGTATATCGATTACTTGCACACCTGTGTATAATCAAGTCGAAGAGATACGTATATCACGAAATTAGGCGACAAAAATACAGGAACGCGTTTAATCAAAAAAATAAATTTCAATATTTTTCGTAAGAATGACAACCAGATGTCACTACAATTGAAATATTCAATGTGGTAAAAATAAATTCCTCGCCAAAGAATAATATACGTAAATAATTATAACGAAACACGAAATAAAAATCTCAACTATTAACTTTCTCATAAAAATAAGCAACATTATTATTATTTCATAACCTATTTCCTTGATCTCTTCCTAACCTAACCTAAAACCATTAACAAATCCGGGCAGATTAAAAAATTAAACAACTATCGTTTTTATAAATTTCTATCAAGAAACATTAAAAGTAAACAAAAAAAAAAATAAGAAATCGGTTGACGATTTAAATGACTACGAAGGACGGACGAGAGAAGAAACGGGCGGAAAATGATGGAAGTGAAAACTTTTATTTCGCAGGATCGAAGAGAGAGGATGATTCGTGCACGCAGGACCTGTAATTCGTACGCGTTTCCGTAATCCCGGTGAAGCTTGGTGAAACGCGACCCCTGGGTCCGATTTTTACTCGTTGGTTCGTGGGCGGAATGCAAAACGCGTCACCTCCCCCCACCACGTCGATACGAATCGACGAATCGAGGTTAACCGTGCGCGATCAAGATCGGGACCATTCATGCAAATTAAAATGTTTCCTGGTGGAAAACATGGTGGAATGTGTGCTGCGTTGGATTTTGAAGTTTCTCGTTTTGTTTGGAAGCTGTCGTAAATTTAAAATCCGATATTCGAAAGAGCGATGCAAAAAAAATGAAAATTGGATACGAATAACTATAGAATAAGTAAATGATATTGATTCGAAAATTAGGAAAGGGTCGTGTAAGTCATATGGAAAAATTTAATTGGAAATTAATGATTGAAAAAGGAACGTATATATTCTCTCTCTGGTATATTTTCATTTTCTTCGTTGCATTGGATTTAATCTGTAAGATATGTGTAAGTTTCGATATGTATTCCAAGTTTGAAATATATATTATTAATAGAGAATTATTAAAATCGGAAATTGAACAATGTTGAAAACTTTATTCATTGTTTTTGAACGTTTCGATTTTCATATATCGGCGCATCTAATTTTTTAATTTTAATTCTATGTAAATTAATTCGTTTTCCTGGAAATTGTTCTCTACTTTTATTTTTTAAATACCAATATTGATTTTACGATTCAAAATACGATACGTATTGAATCGATGCCTTGTCAGAACACGCATTGGATACCTGGCTCCTCGCTTGCTATTTTTCCTTAATTCACACGAAGTCTCTATCGGTCGCAATTCACCGTAGATCGCACCTATTAACCTCCCTTCGAGCTACCAATTGTCCAACCTGAAGGTATACTTCAAAATATCAAGTGTCGGAAACGGTTCACGCTCTGAAATTCAATCCTTGTCCTTTGGCGTCCTTTGGTAAACGTAAACACGCTTAGTATAGTATAGAAAATAAAATGAAAGTCGAATTACAGTGTTATATCTTCTTAGTAAAACGAATAACACGATACCACAAAACAATAATCCTGAATTTGGATTCTCAATTCCTTTTCTTCTTTCACTATCTATTAATAAAATTAAGATTTGCGCCTGATAGTCAAATATTCATGGCTGATTGTGAGCTTGCAACTGATAAATATCGTGATCGACGGGCGTGATTTGATTATAATATTTTAAAAGACAAAGCCAGCCAGAAGGGGAATTGAAACGGTCTGTAATAGTCGTACAAGGTACGAGGGTAACGAGTACATATGTGCGTCGATTAAAACGGACGTACACACAAGGGACCAGCTGCGGTGACTTACCTCGAATGCAGGGCACAGCTACGCTGTACTGTGGGGAAACTCGAGGTGGGAGGCGGAGGTGGAGTGCAATATGCCGGTGGCAATGGTGGATCATGTCTGTGAAGATGGTTATGCCGGTGACTGTGAGAGTAACTCAGAGAACCTCTCAGACTGCCGGGCAGATGGCGATGCGGCGTTGACTGATCACTGAGAACACAACGAAATAAAATGTTTTAAAACTCTTTTTTACTTTTTTTTCGTTTTAGCAAAAAGTGTCAAAACGTTTGGTTTCATATGTCAGGATATATTATGTTTTACAAGATCGTCGTCTTAGAGACGTAAAGAGAATGTAATGTCTATATTTTTTAAAATGAAAATTAAGATACATCGTAATTTTGAAAGAAAAACGATGAAAGTGAAATTGATACTTCGTATCTCGTCTGAAAACGCGCCAAGAGCAAATGTAGAACAAAGAGAGCAAATAGTAGAAGAAGGACAGAGATATGATAAAAATATTGCAATCAACGCCATCTTCAGTGTGCCTCAAATGAAACACAATAAATAAAGGATAGAAAATAGAGAAAGAAAGATAGAGATAGGACAAGAATTGATTATTATCGCCATCTATTGAGTGCTAAAAGATCTTTCGAAGAAATCGTGCTTTTTTAAACAATCGATAGATGGCGTTGCTCTTCAATTCTTGCTCTACTTTATCCTGCCCATCTTTGATGGTCAAGAGATGGCGCTCCATTCCTATTCTATCTCCATTCTGTTGTTTACTTTTCTTATTTATGTGTTTCATTTACGGCACCTAGAGATGGCGCCAATTCCCTTATTTTTATCTTATTTTTATCTTTTTGCTTATCTTGCTCTATAAATGCTCTATTTGATGTAACAGTTGGTTAAGAATTAAAAAAAAGTAATAATATTTGCTATTTTTATATGGATTTAATTATTCATTTTTTTACGTTTTATTAAATTTTTATGAAATCATCGATACTTTATTATATGTATTGTATATACAAATATTCTATTCTTACACTATTCTCGTCTGCAGTAAAATCTTTGTGAACATTATTTTTAAATCTAATAAATTAAATTCAAAGTATATGAAACATGATAAAATCAATGATATAGTAAATCCTAAGAATTCTCAAGAAACTTCGTTTACAAATCTTATCATAGATATATAAATTATATGTAGTCCGGTTACGATATCCGAAGTTATCAATGTTTTACTTAAATATAAATAAATTTAAAATTTATATCATATATTCACACATATTTCAATCACGATTTTTCAATTCGAAAAATCAACCAATTATTAATTATTTTTAAATAATACGACTTGAATAATTGATACGTTTTTTAAAAATTAATTTCGAAATATCGAACATAAATATTACATTAATTATTTTAAATAAAAGTGATTACTTCGAGAAATACTTCTCGATTACTTCTTTAAAATAAAATGTTTCATTCTTATATTGCGTATATAATTTTAGAAAAAATAATTTGAAATAAATTAAAATATTATTTATTTGCTTTCCAATTTCGAGTAAAAATCTATTGAACTTCACACCTGCTAAATAACAATACGGACAAAGGAACTCTTGTTACATCCGGTTACGGCACAGTAACCCACCTGAAATCCCCTCAACATGTTAATTCCCACGAAACAACGTTACAGATAACGTGCCAAGACCAGGACAAAAATATACATATGTAGTATAGTGTGTTGTCGATTCAACGATAACCACTTCCAGTGTGATCCAAAAATAACGAGACTACATTATTTTTTTTCTACTCTATATTTAACTATGTTGGAAAAATAAAAATAAAATATATATTTCGTTGCGAAATTTCAATTTCAATTATAATCAGAGATCAACTCGACAAATAACACGAAATAATTTTCCTTAAATTTTCCCCTATATTTCCATTTTTTTTATCATTTCGTTTAATTACATATTTCTACACGCACCAGCAGAACATAAAAAAAATTTCAAACACATCCACGTTATCTCAATTTCATAATTATAGCCATTATTATACATATCGGTGTAAAACGACCATTAAAAACTTTCTATTGCAAAATATATAGGATAAAACAAATACAATCGTATCGTGGCAAAACCTCGCGTTATGACCTCATTCATTTTATTCATATCTTCATTAATATTATACAATAATAATAATAAACATGAAATATGTACGAATACATTTAATGAAAAATGTACATTAGATCGTACGAAAATTTAACGATATTTAACTTCAATTTTATACACTATTTTACTTAATATGAAACCGGAAATGTCGAAAGGGCTCATCGAGACACCACTTTGGGGACAGTCCCTCTCTTATCTGGCGTCAAACACTTTAACCGACGCGATATCGTGTCGACGGTAGATAAAAAAGAATAAGTATACACAGAAAACCGCCAGAGGGGCAGTTAAACTGGAAGTTACATCTGCCCGCCGCAAAGTGGCAGTATCGCGTCTTTAGTTGTATGTACTTTTCAAAAAGTAAACGAAGAACGCGATAAATTACTCGAATTCACTCGAGTAACTTTTTAACGCGAAATAACGTTTCCATAAAAAGGAAAGTGGCAAACGGTAACTCGGTATTTGAAATAGCGTGGTTACTAAATCGACTTGGAACGCATGTTCACTGTATACTTAGAGGTTAGCTACGACGTATCAGAAACTAAATTTCCGGGATATAAATTATTCGTGCTTAACTTCCGGATCCTTGAAACAGAGTTCAAAGAGTTTCCATTCCCAATTAGAAAAGATATATATATATATATAAATTTAAGTAAAAAATTGCAAAACTATATAAACTTAAATTTTTAAATTTTTAAAATGTAATTTTAGAATGATATTAACGCGATACTTCTGCTAATGTCAATCATTTGAACTGAAATTTTGTTTGAACTGTTAACTGGAAGTTATTATTCTCTATAAGCAAACACGCTCCAAGCTGTCGAACATTTGTGTTTCGAGTACCATCAACGTCTAGGTTATGTGTCGTATAACTTCCTTCAAAGATGTACAAAATTAATTAAATATTAGCTTTCAATTGCCATCTTATCATTTAAAATTCCATTTGTCTCTCTGAATTAATTCACCAAAAAAAAAGAAAAATTAAGAATATTTTCCACCGTAAATGAAGCAAACGTTAAATGTTGTATATCGATAACTGACTAAGTTCGTGTTTTTAAACGTGACTTTTTAAAAAGAAAAGAGAAAAGAAGATTAAAAGTGTAGTCAAGTATACTTGACCAAGTGATTAAGCTTCGAGGAAAGCCATTTTCCACGTGTGGTGGATCGAATTAACTACCGCGGTTTTTTATCGATATTGCCGCAGAACGACATTAATTATATTAAACGAGGAGGTAAACTCGCACTCGAGTCGTGCTTAATGAGGAGGATCCAAGACGTGGAAGAAAAAATGAAACGCTGTAATCCTATTTCGCTTGGAAAACGTCATCATTACGATGGTGTCGTGTCACGATGAAAACGTTAAAGTAAAGAACGTAAGTACTTACTCGTATTCGATAGAGAACAGATGGACAGATAAATTCGATTTTCGTTTTCTAGTGGTTTCGAAAAATATTAGTCCTGAATGTTTAAAAAGCGTGACGCACGCGAAGAACTTTTAACTTCGATTGATTAATTATTTTGAGGTTATGATCGAACAATGATTAATCTCACAAGGCATGTAAGAAATTAACAAAAAAGGAGAGTTTTTTTGTAAAAGTGATATGAAAAATATTGTTCATTTGAATATTATCACATTTTATATTTTATACGAATCGTGGCATTTAATTAAATTGTTTTTTTTATTTTTTTTTTTAATTAAGAAAGTTTCTGTATAAATGAACAACTTTAATATTTTCAATTACGAGAAAAAATTTATTTAAAAAAATGTGCGTGTAACAAAATTATTAAATCGGCTTGACGAGATTATGATTTTTTTTTTTGTTACTAAACCATTTTGATACAATTATAAAAATTAAAGTAAAATGTATGTGAAATTATATTCAAGGACTGAATATAACACCTGTAGACCACATATTTTCTGTTTCTGAAATAAAAAGTAATACCATAGAGCGTTGTAACGTTAATCATAATTTGCGAGTAGTAAAAAATAATATCATTGTAAAAAGAATTTGTGAAAAAATTTAGGAAAAAACAATCTTCATTAAAGAAGAAAATTTTTCGACGAAAACGAAAAAATAGAAAACAAAGAAATTTGATAGAAAATAAAAAACTTTAAAAATTCTAGTTAAAAAATTTAATAAGTGAATTCTTGTAATCATTGCATTGAACATAACCTCAAAACTGTAAAATGAGAATAATTTCTTAAAAGTAGTTCAAACAATAAGTTTTAAAAGAAGTTTTAAAAGAAAAGTCATAATACAGGGAAAAATAATTCTCGAAGAGCACTTGTTGCAACCGTGGCATCGAAATATTTCAATAAAGCGTATTTTTTATCGACATTTCTTATCGAACCTAACCTAATTTCGCTCGCGGAAAGAAATTAAGAGAAGTTAAAATTTCACCTCTTTTTACAAATGTAAATACAACACGCTTTCATTTAGCCATTCTTTGAATTAATTATTTTTTATTAACGTAACATAACATCGAATTGTTAATTATCTAGCATAACTAGCGTTACTTTAACTAGCCGTAATATAATTGAAATTTACAAATCAATTTCAATAGCGACCATTCAAAAGAACAAGTTTCACCAACGCAAAAATATTCATTCCATGATATGATGAATGCTTTCAAGCCAGCTTGTGCATTCATACGTTTTCATAAAAGCAGAAATTTTTAAACGTACGTTCGTTTTACTATAAGTTTTCCCACAAAGTTTTACGCTTCAGTTTTTCGGAACAGTATCATGTAATAAAGGAAATAATATTAAATAAATTTCATAATTCGATGAACTGTAACTTATTCCTTTTTCATTATTTAAAAATTTATCCAACATTATTAGACTATGACAACAACTTGAGAACAATTTGTCAAATTACATAATTTTAAAATATATATATATTCGTTTGTGTAGAAAAAGTATATTCTAAAAATAAATCGATGGAGCATGAAGAATAAAGCGATGTTAAATCATGGACTTAACGAATAAGCCAGCTCGATAGATTAAAAGTTGCAACTCTTTGTCGAACAAACGCACGTTACGTTTCTTTCGTAAATTTAACAAGAATTTATTTTTGCACAGCCAGATCTCGATTCGTCATTTTTTTTATTTATGTTGCAAAATATGTGTATATACGCAAAAACAATAAATATATATAGCGTGGCAACTTCAATTTCTCGTTAATCTCCTTGAGTTATGTTTTCCTCTTTCTTCGAGTTGTTTCATTTTAACTAATTCGAGGTTGCATTATAGTAGTATAAATACGACTGGAAAAAATGTAATTACGTTTTGTAAATTTACTGGTATCGATCAATATTTTTATCTGTTGGTAAAACAGAGAAAAAAAATTGCAAATACAGAAAAGTATCAAGGAAATTTAAAAAAAAAATTTACCAATTATATTTCCTGTATCGATAATTGATCGTACTATTTTTATTTGTTAAAAGAAATTAAAAAATTTGCAAAATTGCAAGTTTTAGAAAAATTTACCAACCAATTTTTCCATATCGATAGAGTTTTATACTTCACGAATTCCAATAATGCCGCGCTATATTCTTTTGCTTTAATTTTAGCAATATTATTTTAAGATTGCAAGAAAATCACAAGGGGTGTCGCGTCTCCCATGAAGAGAACTCGAGGTAGCTGCTAAAAAACTCTACGAAGCGTCGTGGCCAAGTTTAGTCAAGAAAGTTCTATACTTGACCTTAATGGCGTCAGTCCAATGCCATAAACTTCGCGGTGGTCTTAACGTTTCCCTTTTCTCCTTACATATATTCATACTCAATATCCAGCCATCAGTTCCTCGAGAAATATTCCCAAATAAATCGAACGCATTTTAGAAAATTGATTTTACGGCGAAAATACATCTACAAAGCAATACAAAACTTCACGTTACGTTTGTGTCGCATTGAATTTCGGATTTGCTGCAACATTAGAACTGCATTTTACATCGTAAAGACCGTCAACGTTGAAAGGAAAAAAAAATTCGAAGAAAGGATATTGTCAAAGAATTTCAATGGAGACAAAAAACTACACCTTTCAATGAAGAAATTTTAAAAAATATGGAATTATATAAATTCTACAAGAATAAAAAAAAATAGAAATATAATTGTATCTAAAAAAAAGACATTGTAAATTGTAAAAACATTTAAAAAGATTACAAAAACCTTACCAAAAACCAAATATAAAAGAGAAATAAAAGAAACGAGAAATTAATTTTTCTTACCTCTCAGAAATAAAAAGTTCACTTCGAACTCGAAAGTTTCACTTTAACCGGCACCACTCTCGAATAGTATAATACAATCATTTGCATAAAAGGTTAATATTTCTAGAAGCGTTTAAAAAAAGAAAGGATATAATTATCCTATTGAGAAGGATAGTATCGATAATATTTTCTCTTATTAAAAATAATAATAACGTTTCTGGAGGACGTTTCTATTTGGAGAAATTAATCCAGAGCATCGATATCGTTCAAGTAATCTATCGATGATCGTATCGAGCATCGCAATTTCGCTAGGTCCGCCATAATCCTCAAGATCCAATCAGAATATATGCCTCGAACCACGGATGGAATGCGATCTATCGCAGCGGAAGCGCCACCACCAATTTCGCTTAGGAAACTTGACAATGCTCGGAACTCACCGGCAATTTTAACGGTCTGGAACGAGATTTTTCGAACAGTTCCGCGAACACGAAACGAATATGTTCCAAGTCAAACAATCGCGGAACGACGCACCACGTTCCTCTCTTCCTTGCTCTGTTGCCTGGATGTACACCCTGTTACCTGGATAAAGCTTCCCGGAAGGAATCCAATATTTGTGCATAACCGGACGAAACTTGAAAAGCGTTCCAGTTGAAGCCAAATATTTTCTACTTTTGAAAATAATTTTTCATTTTTACATTCCTTTCATCGTTCAGTTTCTGTACATATTACGATGGCTACAATTCTATTTATAATAAAATTCTTTGATATTTCATATGTATTTTGTGTGATTAATTCTAAGTTGTCTCAAAGATTAATTTATTGATTGATATTAGATAATAAAATGTTATAATAATATAGTTTCTTAGATATATTTATGTTAGTATAATAGAAGATAAAAAAAAAATTAACTAATCTACAGATTAAATAGATTGCACATAATACTTAGATAAATTTGAGAAAACAATAAAAGAGAAGTGTATCGTAATATCAGAATCACATGAAAGTTCTCCGGATAAAAATGTTCGACTCAAGTATCGATACGTAGTTATTGAGAGCTTAACCTCATTGTTTTTGCAATAAACGTTAACTCATATCAGAATCGAAAATATAATCTAGTTTGAAACAACGTAGAAAAACTTCCCTTTTGAAATACATATATATATATATATATAAGCGTAGAATGGTTAAAAACTTGAGTTTTATAAATAAAAACTTTAAATTTGATATTATACGCAATAACGGATTTAAAATTAAAAAAAAATTGTTAAAATGCACTTTGCAAAAAATGAAAAAAGTTTTTGTGGTTGCTTCGTTAAATGTTTGTTCGAGTTTATTAGTTAATAGTTCACTAATTATTGTTACTTTGAATTCAGATTTTAGTGACGTGTTAACAATAGTTTATAACAATGGAAAGTTAATTATTTTCTTTTGCGTAACCCACTAAAATAAATACTTCAATTGAAATACAATTACTATAGAAATGAGTTTGTTACGTGATAATTGAAAAATAAATTAATTAGAAATAAATTATATTTAAATCGAAAATTATTTGTTTCTAAAGAACATATTTAAATATTTTATCTACGAATACTTTTTTCGAATATTATAAACAAATATATCAATTTTAACAAATATTATTGCTTGAAAAAAGTAAAAAAGTTTGTTCTTTGATTTCTTTTGATCATATAATAGCAATAAATTCAATAGCAAATTGTACAATATCAAAATAAAATAAATAAAGTACATGCAAAAAAAAGAACTATGCATTATTTTCAATCAAACTAACACATAATTACAAACATAAATATTATTTCTTATTCTTTTCAAAATCCGTAGAAACGGAGCATAGATAATAAAAACAAGAAAATTCAACACCTACGCGTGTAATATTTATCGAATAGTTACGACACCTGCACAAAACCGACAGAAAGAGAAAATTTCCAACATAATTGCGTATTCCGGAATCGAATAATCCAGGAAATAGAGGGAGCTCGCTTCCATAACGAAATAACATTGAATACTCTCGTTACACTATACGTCGAAATATATTACTATAGTATATACAACTATTGTATCCGTGGAGTAGCTTCGAATGCGTTAAACACGCCTGGGAATCCTCAGAAATGCACTCGAGCGTACCTGTCTACGTTGTTGTTCTTAAAGCTGACCATCCCGCTCTCCAAGCCAGCCTCCCTCATAACCACGCACCTTTTCGCACTTTTTATACACTGACACTACACGTAACAACTACCGGACGCAATGTCGAGCACAAGGATCCATGCACACAAAGAAACATCGTCACGTGTAACGAACAAGCGACAAACAACGAGAAACGTCTTCTTCACACCGCGTTTCCGGACCGACTGAAGAGGAGCCACGCTTCGCGGCCGACCTACCCCCACCAATCCTCCCAGTCGACGCTCCCCACCATTGGTGTCTAATTGCAGCGTTCCGGCAACGGGAGGCCAGCTGACGTTCTTTTGTTGTCATTCTCGACTCATCTCCTATGACGACCGATCACGATCGGATACCACTGCGAGATGGGTTGTGGAGGGTCACGTTTACTTGCTTCTCGACCACCCTGTATGTTGGATGCGTGAGATATAAGGCAAGAAAAAGTCACTGGAATGAAAGGATAAGGTTAAGTTTGAGTTATTGGATTTTGAAACATTTGAAAGTAGAAAACGATACAGTTTGCATATAATATTAATAATCCGTTAAGAACTTTCGTTAAGTATTGATGAAAGATAGTCTCAAACCAAAGAATACAAAAATATAAATCTAAAGAAGAACAATTAAATTTAAATAATCTATGTTTTTCTTCGGTCTCTTTCAATTGCAGGTACATTATACCTAAAAATATACGCATGCGCGTAGGCCGCAACCGGAGGAAAGTAACAATGCTCAGATTCTAACGTTACTTTGCAAGTCTGTGATTTTTATATTTATTCTAATGTAATATTTTCATTTAATTCGGATAAATTTTCAATAATCATATTTTTTTTTTCATTACCTATTTTTTTCATTATTAGATTTGGTACAGTTTTCAATTTTCTCTTCTTATTTTTTTAATTTTTCAAAAGGAAAAAGTTTTCTTATTAAACGGAAGTTAATGCTTCTTCTCTCGGAAATTTCATCGAAATTGTCTTTCAAGAGTTATAATAGAATTGGGACTCGATCGGTAACTCAATCGCGTTCTAACTTTCAATCTGATGTTACTTTGTTGCTTTTGCAAGACAAACTATATTTTTAATATTTTTAATATATTTCATGATATTTTTGATAAATATTAAAAATTCAATCCAATAAATTTTATCTAATTTAAAGAAATGCGTAGCAAAAATTTCTCGTAGAAAAATTATTATTGTACCTTTGAGACGATTTATTTCTAACAGTTGATTTTACATTCGATTTAAAATTTAACGCGAACAATATCAACAGCGTTTTACTTTTTTATCCGATGAATATTCGCGAGCATAATATATGAAACGGAAATCTATCGTTGTGAAATATTTCTAACAATAAGAAATTCATTAATTCACGAGTATATTGTTTCTTAGTAGTCAATTAGATTCACTTTGTGCATTTAATTGTTATAAATGTATATTTACGTAATATTAACATATATATCAATAAAATAAATATAAATGACTTCTTGTTTATAGATTCATTTAATTTTTAAATTAAGCAAATGCTATCTATATATTATTTTTCTTTACACATATTTAATATTTAATTATTCATAATTTCATTTTGTACATATATTTCGATTAAGCAAGGTTGTTCATTAAATATTTTTAAAAATTTTAAATTATTATAAATTATAGAATAATAATATACGTAGATTTTATTTATTACTTCTATTTCTTGAATAATTTTATTGATATTTTTTTAATTATTTATTTGATCAAAATCTCTTAACTTTGCCTATTAAAATTTGTTAACTAAAACGTATTCAAATAATTACTCTACTATTTTTACAAAATAATTCGGTTATGAAATGAAGAAGAAAAAGAATTTTCCTTAAAAGGAAGAAGAAAGAATTGAAGAATTTTCATACTTTTTAACAATCGTGATCCATAAGTTCTCCAATTGTTTCACTGAAAAAGAATGGAAAGCATGGTGTAACGATGCGAGAGATGAAGTAGTGGTCTTGAAAGATGATTCATAGTTTGAACGACGTCTACTACCTGCATCTGGAGCACTAATAATAGATTTTCAGTAGCCGGAGGGTAGTACTCCATGAACAGCAATTCTATTTCAAGAAGGAGGTGGCTCGTTTTACAAATAAAAGGCTTCATTGAAATGTCGAGTACAATCGTTAGAGTGAAACGATCTCAATCCATAACTCTAAGATCCATAGCCAAAGTTTCCAATATCTCCTCTCCCCTTGAAAATGGAAGATTTCGCCCGATCAAAGGAAAATCATTTGTTCTTCACGCTGCATCGACGAATGGAAAACATCTCGTCTTGTCTATTCTAAATATTTGGCGATTAAACGAGGAGGACTCTTTTTACGTGATTATTAAAATTTTCAATTCGACGTAAAATCATTCTTGCAATCTTTCGTTTATTAATTATTTCTAGTGTTGAATCGTTGGTTCATGATCTGTCATCCGATTCATTTAGAATCGAATATGATTCAAATAATTGAAATAAAATTTTCGTTTCTTTTCGTTCATTTTTCTTTTATTTTCTTCATTTTATAAAAATCTGAGAGCTCAAAATTAAAAATTCTGCACGTTAAATTAAATATTTCTTATTAATATTATAATTTATAATTTATAAAGATATCACAAAAAAGAGAGATGTGTCATTTTTTTCATCCACCGTATCTAATATAATGCATACCGCTCTTCGTTCTACTAGAATTTAGACGTAAATTTTAAAGCATGGTGCGTTTAGCCTGAATTCACAGCCATAGTATTTTAACGGAAATTTACATCATAATTCCAAGGCTATCTACTTCACCAACTTTTGCAGCAAAACATCGTTTCCAAAACTCACTCCCGTAATTCATCTAGACACGTAAAATATATATATATATAAGAACAATTTGGAAAGATATCTGTATTTTCTTCATTAATGTGTCTCGAAAACGAACAAACCTACTTACATTGTTATCAAGTTTGTTACCGACCGAGTTTCCTTCAAATAGATATCAGATCCATATTTCCACAAACAACAATACTCGCGTTTCCCAATAATTACTATTAATCTTGAGTCACGATCGATTCCATCACAACTTGGCCGTTCTTCGTCTCATTTGAAAGCAAAACTTGAAGCAAGCAAACACACGCAACTTCGAACACACGTCCCTGATATCGTTCGAAAAGATATGGAAACACGCGAAGTTGGCTACAGTTAATTTGGTCGAGGCGGTTCGTTAAAGAACGCCCCCTAGGCGACGAAACAAAGGTTTCGAAGCGGCAGATCGAAGTTTCGTGTCACGTCGATCCCTTCCAGGAAGAATTTCTTTTCACGAAAACTTTTCAGACGGAGAAAGAGTTCCGTCCATGTAAAATTTCGTGGAAACGTCACGTGGCCGTTTCAAACTCTCCTGAATAGGGTTTAACCTATTTATAGGCAGAACCGAGACGGCGCAGTTTTAACCGTTTACGGTCGTGATGTTTAGTAATGAGAAGTTGGAAGGCGAAAGCGAGATGAAACGTGGTGCGTGTACGGATCGAGGTAAATTACGGGCTCATTGTAAATTAACGGTTGATTGGATGAGAGTTTTGTGAAAGTGAAAGAGAAATCTCAGGAGCTTTCGAGTATAATGAAGAAAAATAATGAAAAATAAATGTTTATTTTCGTTAGATTTGATGAGAATAATAATAAAAAGATTGAATTTAATAAAAATTAAAATTGAAAATTGAATATTAATTACTGGTTATTAAAAATCTAAATTTGAAAGTGCTTTCTTTAAAAATATGTGTATAAATTATGTTATTCTTACCTTGATACTCGTGAAGAGGTTAGAAAAGACAAAGGATCCATCGCACGTTTTAATCGTGAAACAATCCATATAAATGAATCTAGAATACTAGGTAATTAGAAATCTCCCATATTTCTTTTTCCATACATTTTATATTTGTCTCATTATTGTAACTAATTGTAATCCGTGAAATTATTTTATCATTTATTATTCTCGAATATCCCACACGATTGGCGTATAAATCGTATGAAAAATATAATAAATCTTGTTCATTGATTTATATGATCAACCTATTAATAGAAATTACATTAAAAAATCTAATTATTTTCTTAATGAAATAGAAATTCATCAAATGAACTAATTTCTCTTATAATTAGATATCGACTCGCTTCATATAATATTCATGAAGATAATTCTATTATTATTGAGAATAATATCTTTCATTTTCATGTCAATTTCTTTGGATTATAAAGATTAATTTGATTTATATTAATCTTTTATCTAATCAAAATATTATTATTTTACAATATATATATATATAAAATAATTTCACTCATGAAAATTATTCTTCAAATCCTCTTTTGGATTACAATTAATCCAGATTAGCTTTTCGATGAAATTTGAATTTCCAGTTTCCTCTCAAATATGTATTATTACAGACAATTTAATAATATTTCATAGAAGAAGTTCAAAGTTATTAAATCATAATGATGATATAACTCATAATGATTAAACTTTTGTAATACCATTATATATTCGAGTATCATTAAATGTTTTTTAGATTTCACTTTTTATTTTAAATAGGATCTATACTCTTGTTACGCAGAAATTAAATTAGGATCTAAAAATTCTAATTTCCAATTGAAATCCCATTACCCATAATTTTCCAAATTAAATATTTTGACTACGGTATAGAAAATTATTCCATATTCACTTTTAACTTTTGTAATTTCTTAATAAATAAAAAAACCCTAAATTTGGAATGGAAAAAGCGTAAAAATCCAATTCGTTGCCGAATAACAAATTTGAATATTTTATATTTAAATAAAGAACCACTACGCTTAAAAATATTGACACAAAGGTTAATGCAATGTCGATATCAAAGATAAAAACAGAGTGTATTTACTCGATAAAAGGACGTATAAAGAGTATAAAAAGAAACTCCGTAGTAGGAATAAAAGTGGGCAACGAACGCATTTAACGCGTTCTCTCTTATGCTGAATGCACCTGACGATGCTTATTCGGGGATACAGGTGAACACCTCAGGTAAAAGGATCCTTTTCTTTCGATGTTCATTGTTGCGCCGTGACGATAGAATCGGGCGGAATACATATTCAGAGGGGTGCAAGTGAATAGGCACAGGTATGCGCGCCATCGTTAATTTATTTGAGAGAAAAGCGACGAGAACAAAGTTCTTTCACGTGCCAAGAACTAATGACCGCTTTGAGAGGGAGGGAGGGGGGGGGGAGAGGGAAGTAGACCACAACTTTTACAATTAAGATTAAGTTTCTCGCTGTAAAATAATGAACATGTCTACGCACACTTCTTGTTCCATCTTAACGAGAAATGCTACAGGATTATTCAAATTAAGTGCATTTATGAATAGAAATAAACTCTTCGATACTCAAAATATTGTTTGACTTTTGATTTTTAATAAAAAAAAAAAAAAAGTCTAAATTTTAAATCAAATAGATATCCAATTATTATGCCAAATAACAAATTTGATATCGAACAAAAAAAAAAAAAGTATATTTAGATTGATACAAAGATTAATACCAATACGATAGATTAACCAAAAATTAAAAAGCGTATTATTTAAATGTAAATAACATATTTTACGATAAATCCAACTAATTGTAACGCAATATCATTCCTTCGAATTACCTTCTCGATTTTCATAAATTATTATTAGTTAACTCTCTTTATCATAATTATTTTAATAGTTATCTGAAATGCTATTATCCATTTGCTGCTTCGGCATCGGATGCAAAATATTGAAACATTATACGAAGAAATTGAGGCAAACTAAAATAACTAAATTAAATGTGAAATGGTTTTATGACGTAGTACTTACTATCCTTTCCTCCATATGTGCGCGACGAATGTTTGCGCAGAGGTTATAGAAATGGCGAATAGAATAAAAAATTTTCCCAAAGGTCATTTTCCAAAGCTTTTACAACGTCATTGAACTATTCTATTGAAATGACAAAGGCATAGATTTCATAGCTTGCTAATGGGTTACTACGTTGACATAACTGGTAACACATGGTTTTTAGACCCGACCGTTTCAGGATAATAAATTATC